AGTCACTTATATCCACACATACGTCCATCCATGGTCCATACATCCATCCATCCATCCATCCATCCATCCATCCCTCCCTCCCTCCGTCCATCCATCCATCCATCCATCCATCCATCCATCCCTCCGTCCGTCCATCCATCCATCCATCCATCCATCCATCCATCCATCCATCCATCCATCCATCCATCCATCCATCCATCCATCCATCCATCCCATCCATCAAATCCATCCATCCATCCATCCTGCCAGAGGGACGTATACGTATTTTATGTATGTATGCCAATCTCTGTGTGCGATGTACGTGTGTGTGTGTGTGTCCTCATTTATATGGCTGTGCGTGCAGACGCTCGAGCTTACGCATCAACGAACATAGCTGAACTCACCAGAAAAACACCTCTGCCAGAAGCCTGGACCTTTTTGCATAAACCCAACTGTAGTAGCCGAAAGGTTGCCTTGTGCGGCCCTGTCACTGCTTGAGTAGCTCTCTCTGCTCGGATTCCTCATCACCGGCCTGATGCCAAAAGTGATATCTCCCGAAGCATCGTTTGAAGAGATTTAGGGTTTATTCCAGAGATCCACAGCAGCAGATTCGGGTTTGTGGGAGCTTTACACTAATCCCTTCCCCCCCAAATATTGAACGGCCCCCCTCCCCCCAAAAAAAGAAACTCGGAAAGTATTTTCATTATTAAGGGGTATTGTTATCTCTACCGCGACTTTTGAGCGGTCGTGCTCTGGCTCTTGCTCCCGCGCTGGCTTTTGCTCCTGCTTCTGCTGCGTCTCTTGCCCCTGCTCCTGCTGCTTTTGCTGTTTGCTCCCACTTTTGCTCCTGCTCTTGCTCTTACTCCCGCTCTTGCTTTCGCCTTGCTCTTGCTGCTGCTTTTGCTGATGCTCCCGCTTTTGCATTTTGCTCCTGCTTCTGCTTTTACTGTGCTCCAAGGGTATTTGGAGCCTCGAAACCCTCCCGCTAATTCAGAATAGGCTTTGAAGGGCAGGGATGGTTTCGGGAGGATTCGCCCCAATGTGATTTGATTATTAGCGGGGTGTTTAGTAGAAGGGGGAAGCGATTCTTATTTTAGGGGTTCTGTATGGGATCCCTCTTGAACTAAAAATGCATTAGGAACGCAGCTTGCTATTATAATCTCTTGAGACGGAAGGCAAGAACCAGTACTTCCCTTCGACCCCTAACCTTAAACCCTAAACCTACAATACCTGGGACTTACAAGGGTTTAGCTTGTCTAGGGTTAGGGTTTAGGGTTTAGGGTTTAGGGTTTAGGGTTTAGGGTTTAGGGTTTAAGGTTTAGGGTTCTGGGGGCTTGTGGGGTCTGTGGGGTTTTGTGGTGTGTCAAGGGTTTTTGGGATCTGGAACACCGATTCCGAACCACTTGCTCGGAAATCTTTGGCCCACGGAAAGGCCTGCGTGTCCAGCTGCGCCAAGTTCTTGGCCAGTTCCGACTCACACAGCCTGAGTCTGGTCTTATACTACGCTTCTTTACGATGCACAACAGCATCTTTTGGTTGCTGCTCCTGTCTTTTGGCTTACTGCTAACCAAACTTGTGATGAGTTGTTGGTCTTTGACTGTGGAATACACTTTGGGAGGACTCTCCTGCAGTTTGGAAGCCTGGCAAAGCACCAGAAGAAGCTCGAGCCAACTCCGATGAAGCGTCCGAAACTTCCAGCTCCCCACTGTCATGTTAAAGGAAACTGGAGGTGGGGAGTTTTGGGTATATAGGGCTTCTATGAGGCTTCTATAAGGTATATAGACCTTCTATAAAGCTCCTATAACGGCAACTGCCCACCTGAAAATGTCCTAGACCATGGGCAACCTTCGCAGAAACCCCAAGACAGAGCTTCCTGCAAGAAGACGTGAAGCACTGATGCACCTGAAACAAACTGAACTCTGAACCATCTGCTTCCCACAGGGGCGCTTGTGGCTGGAGAGTATGCATCGCAAACCCTAAACCCTAAACCCCTAAACCCTAAACCCTGAACCCTAAACCCAAACCCTAAACCCCTAAACCCTAAACCCTACACCCGAAACCCTAAACCCTGTCTTCACCAGGGGTCTGCATCATGTAAGACCATGAACAGCAACTTCGGGAGGGCCAACATAGGCCCCCTACCCAAAGCCTGAAGCTTACGGTAGGGGCCTTAATAATTAGAATAGGGTTCCTTTAAGGGTTCCTTTAAGAGGGTTACTATAAGGGGTACTATAAGGGTTTAAGAAAGGGGCCTTAATAACTTGAATAGGGTTTTGGGCTGTGACTCGGACCAAAGTCTGAAGCGAACGAAGCTTAGGATGACTTGTGCATCCGTAGAATGTAAAGCTGCAGTTGAGCTACATAACTAAGAAAGATTGGACAATA